GAAGACAAACGATGCTATAAAAGAATCCCTATCTTTTATAAGAATAAAGTACATTTCGTTGACACACTTTCAAGAAGAACCTATTTCTGGGATACCGCAGTCCCATGTGGATCAGAAAATAGCCACAATGTAGTACAACTAAACCCTGATGAAGATAAATATTACCTTCTTACCCCATATCCCACATTAATGCAATCACTCAAAAAATTTTCACCCGAAAGCATTAGAGCTATTGTTCGAAACCCAAATATTGACTTACAATCAATTGGCATATATTCAAAATCCGATATACAACATCACATTAGAACACAACAATTCCAAGAATTATTAACACAAATGGACACAATACAAAGACAATCAATTGACCAAAACTTACGCAAACTTGCCGAAACCGCAGGATTTGCAGACATCTATACGCAAGACTATAGCGGATATTTTAAAGACATTAAAGATTATATACATCTAAACGGTGAAAAATACCGTCCCCAAGATATATCACCTATCAATATTTTTAGCTTTGTTACACTAAAAAATGAAATTCTCGATTTTCTAGGATGGCCCTACTACATCTTAGAAAAATTGACTATTTTATACGCAATGTTTAACTTTATTGGATTTCTTTTTTCACTCTTAAAAGGAATCTATAACACATGTGCTATACACACACAAGTCAATAGACAAGCAAGTGTAGCACGCATATTATTTGCAGGATTTTTTGGAATTTTTTCTACATCAATAAACAAAATTCTTTTAGATGCACAAATAAAAGAATACAACACAAAAATAGCAACAAGACAGAACACATACGACGAAGAACATAACAATGTAGACACAACGCCAACAGCACCACAGTTACCACCCCTACCACATAACCATCCATTATCCCTAGTCCCACGTAATTTTCGAAACTTAGCAATAACACATAATCCAAATTTTAGACAAACCATATCACAAAGTCCCATCCAACATATAATGACACACCACTCACAAGATGAAAATACCTATGAACAAATTATAGAACAACCCCATACCACCGCTTTTCAGTCTCAAAATAATAATTTTTTTAGCCCACGATGAGCCGACAACTTGGATCCCTGCACCGTTCAAATTCCCATCCAACCAACCTCACTACTCCAATTACAATAATACCACTTTTTGCTTTCCCACCACCCGATTTCCCAATCAGTAATGTAACATCAGGCATGAATTCCGATACTAATTCACACATCTCAGTTTTATACTCCACCTCACAACTCAATAACCCGAATATTGAAACCACCGATGAATTTGCCGACTCTGAACCATCTCCATCCAATAATTTTCACACCAACTCCTCAATTTTTTCCCAACCCCCTTTTCAACCAATGCTACCAAATAACCCTGTCCCCACCAATTCTACACCCTCTTATGCTTCCCAAGTCACTCCAACCTATTCTTCATATCATTCAGACCGATCATCCAATTCTCCAGATACCCCCCAAATCTCCCCAGAACTAGATAATTTTATTACATTACAACAACAACCCTACCACCTTGACACCCCCACCATAAACCAAATGTCATCCACAATAGATTCATCCAACCCTCCTACCCCTACACCCTCTTCAATTTATACCGAATCATTAGCACCATCATCCACATCTACTGAATCTTCACTCAGCACTAATAGAGCTTACCGCACTTTTAAAAGAAAGTTCCCCAACCATCCTTTCCCAGCAAAACCAGGAACAGCCCGTGAATATATAAATCACCCAAATCACACTAATACAAAAGAATTTTTAGCTATCACCTTACCCTCATTTCCACAATACACCTTAAACACCCCTCACGACACTAACGAAACACGTAACTTTGTAGACGAACACGTTTTAATGCCTACCCTCCCTTGGACCTCATATTATCATTTTACTAATCCCCTTTGCTTACCTTTATCTAACACTCACATCGATATAGAACGAAATAAGGACATGCTATATCGACTCACTACACCACTAACACCTAGACAATTTACTTACATCGGATATAAAAAATCACTAAAAACATACACTGCACCCCGAGCTAACGAATATACGCTAGAATATTACGATCATAACATCATCAGAACTAACCAAGATCAATTCTTAGACGATGACCGCTTCGCTAACCCACAAATCACAGAAAATTTTTTCATTAAAACACCATATGTATTTACACTCAATATCTTTGACCGCAAATTTGACCACATCATCTCAGAAGCACTAATAGACACGCAAGCCTACGAAAGTTTTAAAGAACGTTTTCAAATATTTTCACTAACCTTTCATTTCCTTGCACCACATGAAAGAGATCTGCACTGCTCACACGATATTATGTTGCGCACTAAACAAACTCACACATATACATATTATCGTTTTATCCAAAATCACTTCGACCTACACACTCCCTCCAGACAACCACACCACCGTTTTCAATTCATCAATTCCAAATACACCTCACCATTTTTTCTTAACTTCACATATTGCATTAAAGATACTAACCTTCATGGTATTCTTCGAAATTATGATCCCATAACCCAAATGTATATTTTTTGTCCCATCACCAAGACCTTCAACGCAGAAGAATCCCGACCCTTCCTTCTCCCACACGAATTTGTTCAACCTATAGAAATCCCCATTTTAGAATTCATCCACAACACTAAATTCAATCACAAATTATATAATCTAATCCAAAACACACCTTATGAGTTTGCAGTTGGCACTGAAGAACTAACCACCATTAAAGCACTTCAATTGCTTTGGCCACTGCTTCAAACTAAAAATATCATCCGCATCTTAGCTAAATTACTAACAACTTCAGATCTCATCCACGACATCTTCCCCCACGGTTTCTTCCCCGACGACTAACAGGTAAATATGAATTATACATATTATCAACTAATTAAATTAAAATTAGAAACTAACCATTCTTTATTCATGTCTTCTTTAGAATTTTAGCCTTCATCCAACGATCATCTGAAAAATTCACAAAAGAAAATAAAAATTGAAAACTTCTTCATACTGTTAAAAACTCTATTAATTTTTTGCACCAAACAATTAAATAAAAATAATACCAATGCAGTAATTTAATTTATAAATTTTTTCCCAAATGCAATAAATCTAATAATGATGAAAATTTGTAACTTAATTTTCCCCAACAACTAGCAGTAAATTTGAATTTCTATGTAATAAATTGATAAAACGAAAATGCAGTACTAACCTTTTGATATTTCCATTCATTCGCACAAAAATTCTATCCACACTCGCACAGCTCGCCCACGAAGAATTGTTTAAAATAATGAATTTCAGTTTCAAGCTTTCACACACAACAGCTCTAACACAAGATAACACGTTTCAAACTTTCCCTTAACCCGGTTGGAAAGGAATTATATACTAAACAACACTAACCAACGTAGCTTACTAAACACCACAAATCATAGAATAACAGCATGACTAAGAAAAGGAAACCAACGGTACCCAAACCGGATTAACCCAGTTTAAAACTGGATAATTTATTCTTTTGAAGACTATTATAAAGTCTAAGAAAGAAATAATAAAACACAAAAAAGTCGAAAGACAAACCCATACCAAAAACAATTTGATTTTTGAAAAAAGGACACAACCAACAAAACATAAGAAAAACCACAACAAACCCAACATAAAACGTTGTCACATAACAGGACCCCTCACAAAAACCGCATGCAATCATACTCCCACTCCTGGCCTAACCCACCAGAAGAGGACGTCCTGAGCATGCTCTATAGCCGGCCTAACCCACCGCGCTACATCCACGCTTTGTGACACACACTCCTATTTTTAATAAGAGCTACTCAAGGGTGAGTAACTCTTCAAAATAACCGAACTAAAACAAAAAGCTTTTGTGAAAACAACTAACCGAAATCATAATTAAACACCAAACTAATAAAAATTTTATAAAATGTAAATTATACCTTGCAGTATATAGATCAGCATACAACACCAAAGACGAACATCCAAAGACAAAATGAACCCACTACACTCGAAAAAGAATGGCCAACCACAATCAATATGCCGCCCACAATCACAACTCAAAGGATTTAGAGTACGACTTGACTTCGCAGAAAAGGACTTCATTGAACTAGACCAATGACCACCTCGATGTTCAAGTATACGTACAGATCCGAATAACCAGGCATCCCCTCCACACACAATCTCCGCGCCATTCCCAGACAAGGTCAAACACAAAAGAAGTTCTCTACATGAAACGGAAAAACCTGTCATAGCCAACCATTCTGAAATCAGATTTGAGTTTGTTGCGAAAACCCAGTCGTTGTCTTGAGAAGACACAACGATTGAATCTGGGACTTCTCTAATAAGAAAACCCAGAAGAAATAAGATGTTCGCCAAATACCAACGTCCATCATCCATCCTTTGAATTGCAGAAAGACTATTCTTAAAAACTCTGTAAAACCCGGATGGGTGGAACCTGATCTAAACTACATTTTATGGTTGTATAAATTAGATATTTTACCACTGTAAAGTATTTAATATTAACCAATCATGATCCATCTAACTAACAACCCACTTATTTGTAAGTGCTGAAATTACTTGTAATTTCAGCACCAGAGAGATTTGAATTTAACTTAAAAATTAGTTGACTCTCCAAGAAGACTTCAGCAGCCGCAATAAACCAGTATACCCTAGATCTATTGAGCCTAGCAGAGACTAGTTAAACAACCTGAGACTAGATAGTATAAGAGTAAGATTAGGATTGGTATTAGACTAAGAAGTTGCACGAATCTATCCGGCCGAAAATAAGATAGCGTGACGAGCAGACGGTGTACCCTATCCGAAATTACTCTATGAGTTATACACTTCGGTCCTAACTCAAATCTCACCTTAGTATATCTTTTTATTTATGTCTCTTTGTATGGCTTCTACTGTCCACATGTTTCGGAATGTATGTCTTCTATGTTTCACTAATCTCTCTGTATGTGTGGCCATTAGGGTAGCGTGGATGTGGACATAGTGGTTGACAGTTGTCTCTACTTATGGAGCAAGTGCAGACCTCTCTTTGCCAAGATACAGACTGGATCGACCGATGTGTCCACTTACATCAAGGCACTGCACAAAACTGAACAACCTCAGAAGGTTCATTTGTCCAATTCTCGTTTTACTATTTACACAATGGCATTCAGAGGGTTTTGTCAAATTTTCAATTTGCAAACTTAGTTCTAAAGTTTGACTCGGAGTTGTGGCAGGGAAAGCAAATTATACCTATTTTTCAACCCTATTAACGCTATTGGTAACTCCATCGCAGTGATGTCCAATATGTTATCCTTGCAATAAGAGAGGTTATTGTAATCGAGTGCTACACTTTTTCTCTTTAAATAACTTTGTTCTCAAGATCTCCAAATATAGATGTTTTTTTCCAGTAACATTTCAAAAAATTTAACAAAAGTTTTTTTCTTATTCAATTTTGAAGAGCGTTTATGTTTTCTATTTGTGTTTATACAAATTTTAAAGTGATTTTGTAAATAAATTGCATTCATTTTTGATTTTTTTGGATGCATGGTTTTTTAATTTTTATGGTAATAAAAGAATGTGCACTTAATTTCAAGCTTTTTAGCGTCATAATTAGGTTTGAGCAATTTATTTTAAATTCATTCAAGGTGATAGAATAGCGTATTGTTTCATTATGTCTTTTTTTTTGTAATTTGGATTTGACTGTTTTGTCTATTAAGATATATGGCGTGCGATGCACAAGATTCAAGAGCGTTGTTTTCTCCTTGAAGTTTTTTGTAAAGTTATATATATATATTTTTTCGTTTTTCCATTCAGGCGTCTTTTTGTATCTGTTTTTGTTAGAATCTGCTCTCTTACCGTTGCGTATTATTTTCATATTTGATGAGATTGATGCAACTGGTTTAACTAAGTTCTATAGGTAATAAGCATAATTGTAGGGTTTTTGCAAAATCTTTAATTGGCAAAATTGTTTAAAAATTGTGTATTCAAGTTTTTTGAAATTTATTTTTTCAGTCTTATTTTGATCTTAGTTTAGAACAAACCTTTGATAGTGTCTTTTGATAACTCCATTTGTTCCTAATATTAATGCTATTTAATTGGTTTCAATTTTCAAGAAAATTTTCTTTGATAAATTTCGGAATTTTTGGATTGTAATTTTTGACCGAATTGTGATCTATTAGGAAAAGGTAATGAACGTAGTTTGCGGAGCATGAATTGGTCTTTTGTTTTAGCTTACTGATTTTTGTAAGATTTGCAAAAAATACTTTTCTGGGTTTTTTAGCCGACGATTTGTTCAGCAAAATTCATTTGATTATTTCACTTTTGTTTGAAACAGATTTTTTTTCGAACTTTGGCATTTAATTTTGTATTGCAAGTAGTGCAGAGCTCCACTTCTCCTCGGTGTTAAAATTGTGTATAAGACAAAAAAAACCACTACAGTTCAAAATTTTTGAAAATTTAAAAATCTAGCAAACTATCTAAATATTTCATTTTTTGTCCAAGTTATTTATCAAATTTTACTTCGAAATTGCGTTTTTCTTCAGCTTTTTTTCAAAAATCCGCATGAATATTAAAAAATCAAACACCGGCGCTTGCAAATGGGAAAATCGTCCAGACATTAATTCAAGTCCCATTGTCTCGTACAATGCAAATTGTTTTTCATTTAAATTGGTGATTTTAAAATGAAGTTTTTCTATTAAATTATGTATGACTTTTTGATTTATTAAATTGAAACTGCGGGAAGCTAAATGTCCCCCATTCGACCCTAAACAGGCACAGAAAAAGCAAAAAAGATGCCCGCGTGATACGCAAATAGCACCTAATGTTTTGACTTCACTTCTATCCATCTGAAAAACCCAAAATTCAAATCACGGTTGTTCCTCTTTTTTTTCGAATCCAAATCACAACTGAAAATTTTTATTTAGTATTATACCATTTTGGATATCATTCGAGATTTCATTGAGGTAACTAAAATCGGGTGGACAATCTTTCTTAAACCATGGATAAAACTTCGCTGAAATGTTACAAATGTTTATGTCTATAGATGCTGCAACTGTTGTGTGAAGTGCAGGCAGTGATGTGTTGGGTGGGTATGAGTCAGGTGGACCCCCTCACTATGGGCGACATCTCCCTCAGACTGGCCTACGCACTGGAACTGGCCGCCAGCAGATCGAACTGTGAGTAGAAAAGGGTCCTCTTCTTAAAAAGATAAAGGAGTTTGGAGGAGAGTAGAAGTGAGGATAGGAGGCAGTGGTACAAGTAAAGCAGATGCGATCATAAAATTATGTTTTTCTCATAAGTCAGACTCTGTAGTCGAACGATGTTATGGAATGTGCTTGAAACTTAACATTCAATGAATGTTGTCCTGGTTCAATTCAGTTTTGCAACTTGGCATAAATTAATGACTTGTGGTGACTAGGGTTTAATCTTGTTAAAATAAAGATGAAATGAACGTTTTTGAGATTATTTGCTGTTTCGCAATGTAGCTCTTCTGAAGCCGTGGCACATGCGTGGGTGGAACACAGTTTCTATCCTGGAGAGTGCAGTGGAAAGTGTGGGGAGGGGGTTGGGGGACATCTCCACTCACAAGGACGCCACCCTTTCCCCCACCCACTCCAGAGCACTGGCAGACACCACCTGGATGAAGATCAAAGCAGACAGTGGGGAAGATAGTGAAATAGAAAAAAGCGAAGAGAAGGTGAATTTTGTACAGTCTCATTAAGTCTAGAATTGTAACCCGCTTCAAAGAAAATTTAAGTTTGTGAAGTTTCCGATCTAAAATCTGATTTCTGTAAATTCTGTTTTATATGATAGTCAGTAGCAACCAATGCAAGCTCCAGTTATTACACCGAAGACTTTAGTCAAGGTGTTATGGTATCGTGTAACGGGTTTTTTTTTTATGTTGTCTGTTGTCAAGTGTCGACAAATAACGTCCACAGTTATCAATTATCATGTGGGCTGGACTATATCGCGCTATGTCACGTGATTGCGTATGTTTGTTTCTTTATTTGTTCATCTTTATTTATTTAATTATCTGTTCTTCTATTTATTTAATTATGTTTAGTTTGCTTATATTTATTTATAATTTATGTATGTACATATAGCAAAATTTTGGTGTATATATGTGTTAGTAAGATTTTTAGTTCTACAACGTTTATTCAGGCTCTTTGTCGATATAGCAAAATATTGGTGTATACATGTGTTAGTACGATTTTAGCTCTAGAATTGTTATTTCAGGCTCTTCGTCAATATAGCAATATTTTAGCGTATACATGTGTTAGTACCATTTTTAGTTCTCGAACTGTTATTTTATGATCTATGTCAATATATCAAAATTTTAGTGTATACATGTGTTATTACGATTTTTAGTTCTCGAACTGTTATTTCATGATCTTTGTCAATATATCAAAATTTTATTGTATACATGTGTTAGTACCATTTTTAGTTCTCGAACTGTTATTCCATGATCTTTGTCAATATAGCAAAATTTTGGTGTATACATGTGTTAGTACGATTTTTAGCTCTAGAACTGTTATTCCACGATCTTTGTCAATATAGCAAAAATTTGACGTATACATGTGTTAGTACGATTTTTAGCTCTCGAACTGTTATTTCATGATCTTTGCCAATATAGTAAAATTTTGGTGTATACATGTGTTAGTACGATTTTTAGTTCTAGAAGTGTTATTTTATGATCTTCGTTGATATATCAAAAATTTAACCTATACATGTGTTAGTACGATTTTTAGTTCTAGAACTGTTATTTCAGGCTCTTTCTCGATATAGCAAAATTTTGGTGTATACATGTATTAGTACGATTTTTTGTTCTAGAACTGTTATTCTTCATTTATTAGTTGTTCAAGTTGTTTGGTTTTTGCTTCAGTTTCTATGCCTTCGGTGTATTGCGCGTAGCGCCTATGTTTAGAATATGTACCCCAAATTAACAGCCAATAGTAATGGAATGATATCTTATAAATTACTGTAGGTAATTATTGATTCATCATCTTTCAAGTTTTCTCGTTCTGCCAGGCTCCTTTTTTCAATCGACTGATTTGACTTGGATGCTCTAGCATTTAAAAGACGCTATTTGAGAAAAAAATAGATTCAAACATGTTTTTTGTTAGGAACCGAAAGCTGAAAATGAAGTGTCTTCCGGTGGTGTTCCGGAGGAGCATCGGAGTCTGGACATCCGGATCAACACCATCAATGACGTGCACTGCGAACTGTTGTTCCTCTACCACCGACTGTGCATCAGATTGGCCCATCACCAGAAACTACAGCAGGAGAGGATGATGAGGAACGCACTCTACAAGACCAAGTCCATCGAGGTACCGTCAGAGATGCAGTTTCACTATACTAATATTTTTTTATTATTTTTTTTATTAAGTTTGAAAATCTTTGAACTATTTAGACCATTGAACTTTGGAAAACGTTTAATATTTTTTAATATACCTTTAAATACACAAGGTGTGAAAATAACTCCATTGATGATGATCAAGATTTGGGAAAAGATTTTTGAAACTTTGGCTTCTCATTCCGATCACCGTAGCAAAGGAGGAGGAAATTTGGTTTCGGACGAGCTTTTCCACGGAACACCTGGTACCCACAAATAAACGACAAATTGTTCTGAATTGCCTATCATATTAAAGCCCGATCAATCAATTATGATTGGAGTTGCGTTGAAAATTTCCGGATAAGTGTTCTCAGTGTCGAGAAAAAATAGCAATAAAGAAACTTATCTATATTATCACTATCACAGTTAAATTTAGCCTTTAGAAACTGGTTTTTGAAGCTTATTTTCAGCCCCTCTCCCCTGACCGAAAAAAAATGATCAAACTCGAAGTTTATATTCTTATTTTAAAAAAGTTTTCGGTTTTACTTATTTTGTTTTGCAAATACTGGAGGTCTAACATTCTGTGCTACTTACACAACGACCTCTCACTTTTTTGGATTCAGTTTCTCCCAAATTGGACGTTGTTTCAGGTGCATTCGGAGAAGGACTTCATCTCTGAGTTTGAGCAGAGAGTGAGGCCGAACCCCTTCTCAACTGTCATGTTCCTCCTCGCCAGAGGGTACATGTTACACATTGGAAACCTCAACCCAACCAAGATCGCTTCTGTTCTGGAGGTAACTTACTAGTTAACAATAATTTTATTATTATTTTTTTATTTTTCAATCAATTTTTAGAAAACAAACGACTCCATAGACGTTAAAAGCAATCGGAACATTCGCCTTGATACGAACAGTCTTCTTCATTTCTAGTACTATTTTAAATTATTTGGAAAAATTGATCGAAAAAATTAATTCTTTCACTCCTACCAGTTGTTTATTTGTTTGAGTGAACATTGAACTGAGGGAAAAATGGCATTGCTTGTGCAAAATCCGTTAAAATTTTCCGTCCTATTTAAAGCTGCTTGTAATTCCAAGCTAAAAAGTTAAATGCTGTGCTATTATGTGAACAAGCTATTAGAGAAGATTTTCTTGACATTTTTTGGTCTTTAAATCGAAAAATAGCTCTTTTGCTAAATCTTAACAGGTTTTTAAAATAGGTGTTGCAGAATAATAGTTGTGTTTACTTTATAATAAATCGCAATGGTGTTGCAGAATAATATTTGTGTTTAGTAGTATCGCAAGGGTGTTGCAATCGGGTACTAGACGTTTTTTTTTTTTTTTTTCAGTAAAAAACTTTCTTCACAGAATATTCGAATGGTATCAAAATGTTTTTTACACGCTGCATGGTTAATTTTTAGCATGGTTACTGTTTTGACTGCATTTGTGCCTAGTTTTTCCACAAAGAGTTGCAACTGAATTTTAACCGGATTTGAAAGTTTTGGTAGATTTTTGGTACTGAGGTCGGTCGGCTTATTTTCATTACGTTTTCAAATTTGTTTGTTTTTTATTAAACTAATGAGTAGCGTAGTGTATTAGTAAGAACATTTTTTTTCTAACCTAACTCGCAAATGAAGGTGTTCATTAAGGTTTTCACTTATTTGGTGGCACTTTTGCGGTAATCACGATCTAATCTGTAGCATTGGAAATTCCATAGCATCTGTTTTCTGCTTTACTTTTGGCTAGTGTTTGTTATTCATTTAGCGTGAGTGACTGAGTGGTTAGTTTCTGAGACTCCTAATATGTAGTTTGCAGATCTGATCCGAGAAGAGATGTAGCCGAAATTTTATTTTTTCGAGGCTTATTTCTACTTCCTTATTGCACTTGTTAGAGCTGCCTTTTGTCATGTTCTTGCTAGTGTTCTTGAAGTTAAGCTTCGCCTCTGTGTGATGTTTGTACTTTAACGAAACAATGTTGAGAAATCTAAATCACTTTTTAAGCCGTCAGTAGCAAAACTAGAAAAAAATAAACATGAATTGGCTAATTTTAAAAAAAGGAAAATATATTTTTTTTAAATCTTTTTTCGAACTTTTACTTCGTTTATTAAAATTTATTCAATATCCATCAACTATCGAGCGCATTTGGTGTAGATATAACACATATGCTCGAAATAATGAAAGCTTGTGGTTCGAATCCGGCTGGGGCTTGCTTTCAAACAAGATATTTTCTGTTTTTTCATGCTATCAACTGTCTCTTTTTTACAGCTTAGTTCCCGTTGCACGGACTCGTTTTGAAGATTGAGCTTTCTTCTAAATTTCTGAGTGCCATTAGTGGAAATTATTGAATTACTGTTTTTCGCAGAAGTTTTATTGCGTTTTTTTTTGGGAAAAGTATTTAAAATATATATATTTTTTGTTTTTTCGAAAACTTTTGCTTGTGTCGATTAATGCGCACGGAGTTATTACGCATCGATTATTGTTCTCGCAATCAGCCTTCCAGCTTGAGACTGCTACGTATGGTTTCTTTCGATCCAAATTTAACTTTTAGTTGTCAGATTTTTGAAATTGTTTGTAAATTTAGCTTTTCTCGACGCTATCACCTTGTTTCGAACTTTTTTTGACTTTGCGGCTTTTGTCTCAGTTTCTGTCTGCTAGTTTGTTTTGCCACGTTTTTGTTGTATTGCAAGTTTTCAATTTATGCTTTTCGACTTAAATTCGGTCGGATTCTTTTCCGAATTAGGTATATCATCTAGCATTCACTACATATAAAAATTTCGTGGACACTGGGAAGTACTTGTCGGTTGATTTTCAGCTTGTTGGCTATCGGCTTTAGTTTGGTCGGTTTTTACCTTATATTTTGTTTTCTAAAATTTTTGGTTTAATTTTTAAGACCGATAAGACTGGCTTGATTTTTCCGAATGCTCAAAAACAAACCCACAGGGACCTCTTAAAAAACCTCCTATTTTTTTCATTTTAAAATATTTCGATTTTTCTCTTTAAAAAATTTTTTTTTCTTCGCTCGAAATTGTCGTTGCTACTTCTTCAGCATGATGCCGGTTTAATACTATACTTGTTGTATCGCAAGTTGTGCGAAGCTCAGCTTAGCCTCGGTGTGTAATTTTGTATCAATGTATTTTGATGAAAACATCAATCAAAAAGTTTGAACCACACCCACCTAGTCAACATAATAGTCAAAACTTTTCATCAAGTTTGCCTTGATTTTTTAGGAGGCTCTGTTTCTGTTGGACAAAATCAAAGAAGACGAGGAAGACATCTTCAACAAGAACCTAGCCCAACTAGCCAATCAGAAGCCAGCAAAGACAATTCCTCCTCCTCCTATTCTCTTGAAGAGGTCTGCCACTTACATGATGCTCAAGCCAGGTCCCTTTGAGCCCTCTAGCGGCCAAACTGTGGCTTGGTACCGGATCTTTGCCAAGCAAATCACAGGTCCAGATGCTAAAGTCAGACTGAACGACAATTTACTGAACGGCACAGGAATCGAGGTATGGCATTATCTACAATTGCTTAGAATTTCCGAAGCGGAGATTGTGGAGCTTGTGTCCAGTCTATTTTGTTCACAATTGATTAAGTCACTTTGAAACCTTGTCATTCATGCTTCGAGCTGCAAAAATTTTTTTCTCGAAAATCATGTGTCGAGAAAATCATGTGTGAATCTTTCAGTTTGTAGACAAATCAGAGCAAAGAGTAAGAGTAGATGAATGGTTTAAGAATACGATTGTCGGTGGACTAAAATATAATCTTCCGAATAGTTTTTTTCCTTCAATAACTCACAGAAGCTAATTTTACTACCAACTCTTAAATGTCAAAAATTAGCAAAATAATTAAAATAAAAGTAACAGAGATGCAAAAATTTATCTCACTTTCGAGAAAAACTGACTTACATTTTCGAAATTTGCAAAAGACACGATGTCCCAATTGACATGAAATCCCAATGTGACTCTAGAATGATAATGTTGTTTTAAGTATTATATCTTTTACGTTTTGCAGCTGTTCACCTAATTTAGTTCCCGTGATTAAGTAAAAATAACAAAAAACTTTAAAAAATAGTTATTTTTTGAGAGATTATTTTTTTTCGAGTTTTAGAAATCTGTTTTTTATTTTTGATATTTTTTAATCACTGTGGTTGGAAAACTCTGAGCTACATGCAGAGCAACCGGCGATCCTTGTTAATAATTGAAACAAGACAGAAAAATTGTTTTTTGAAGGATATGAAATTTACTTGCAGGTACCGACCCAGACAGCCGATGAGTTCACCGTGCGTAACCTGATGCCTGGGGAGAAGTACGTGTTCGCCTTCGCCGCCTATTCGGCCGAGGGAACGTTGATCGGAAACCACATCGGGGAGTCCTCCAAGCCCATAGTCGCATACCAACCCTTGCCTGTTCTAACTGCTTACGGGTTCCTCGCTCAGGTAAAGATGGTTTTCTATCTATTGAAAATAGCATCTCAATTGAATAAAACTATATGTGAGCAGAATGATGCAAAAGTAGAAGCGTCATATAGTTCAGTGTTGATTTAAATTATCCGGACAAAACGAATGAAAGTTGAAATTTAAAACGCGTTTTTCTCAAATTGGGTTAATTTCGGGACAACAAAAAAAGATGAAGACCCATCTTGCTTAACACTTTGACAGAAATAATATGGTGCAAGTTGTTTTGTGAAGTTCGGGCCCAAAATTTTACCCCAAAAACGATGTTTTATAAAGTTAAAGTGACATTTTTAGGATATCAAGCGAAACTAAATTATTTTATACAAAGCTGAAAAAAATATACCCTTTTTAATTTTTGGGCTACATAAGAGGCTTCCAGTGATATAGTTTTGTCAGTAATTCAACAAATAAGTTTGGGGTAATTTTTGATTGACTAAAAAGCCACAAATTATCATTTTTGGGGTAAAAATTTGGGCCCGAACTTCGCAAAACAAATAGCACCATATTATTTCTGTTAAAGTTTTAAGCAAGATTGGTCTTCATCATTTTTTTTTGTTTAAAATAAACCCAATTTGAGAAAAACGCGGTTTAGTTTTCAAATTTTATTTGTTTTGTCGGATAATTTAAATCTGAGAGTTACTTTTTGAGCTCCTTTTTTATGAATTTTTGATTCAATGAACTCTCATGAAATCATTGAGTTCCACTTTTCAATACTCGTTAATTTTATAACAAAATTTAAAATTTTGAACTGAAGCCAGCACTCAGGGTTCCGATTGATTTTTTACTTCGTGTTCTGTGAAACATATTTTCATTTTCGCCTTCCATTCCCAACAAAATTATCATTTTTTAAAAATCACTCGGTGTTTTATACTTGTTTTGGGCGTCGACGGTTGAAAATGTGCTCCAATGGGGTTCGATCTCATTACCACATGATTTTTAGTCTCAAACGCTACCCATTCGCCCGTATAAGATCTCCTGGTTTTAGGTGGCCTGTATCACGTCCCAGTACAGAGTTGCACAGCAGGCCTTCAAGCACTTGTGGAACCATCTGGTGCTGCCTCTGGACACCTCTTCTCACCTGGAGACATACACTGTGTCCTGTCAGGACAAGGACCTCAAGATCAACGTCTACAAGTGGGTGAAACTCTTTCGAGTCTTTTCTAGGTTCTTATAAGTGTCAATCAACAAAGTAAAAATTTAGGTCGGGTGCTTTTTTGTTTTTTTTTCAGGAAAATTCTACGAAATAGTTTACGCTGAAGTTCGATTATTCGTGGTTTAACTTTTGCTTCATTTCAAAATTCAATTCAGATTTATTTGCTAAAATTAAGGCAAAAAAATTGCTCCTAATAAGTAAAATAAGTAAAGTGCGAATGGCGCGAAAACAAACATGATTGATTTTAGTTACAAAAATGGATTTTACTTCTTGGTTTCTCAGCGGGATGAGTAACTTCTGTTTACCCAGTTTTCTCAAACTGGGTTTATTTCATCAACAAAAAACAATAAAAGATTCGTGAAGTTCCACGAGCTGTAAAGTGATCTACTTTTGTCGCGACTTTTGGAAGAAAGTTCTGGAATATTTATGCTGTTTTTCATCTTCAGACAATTTTCGACTTTATATCCAGCCTTTTTTGTCGGAAAGTGTTATACATTCTGAAATGTACCGATGTCCTGAGCTCTTTGATTTTTTTTGCAAACCTATGAGTGTTTTTTAGAGTTATAGGTGTTTCAAAATGGCGAACTTGGGATAATTAACGCGCTGTTTAATTCGTGCTATCGCGCGCGCTTTTTTTTTTTACTTTACATAGCGGGTGGGGAAAACTGCCCGAAAAAATCTGAAAATAATGATTAAAAAGTATTCTTTTCTTAGAAAGTTCAGAACTATTTTAAATCATAAACTATTTGATAGACATTTAGTTCATTCGAAATTTTCAGATTTTTGCTTTGATACGAGCCGTTTTGTTGTTACGTTTTCGAAGAAAGTAACGACGGACTATTTGTGATCGGTGTTTTTTTTTCTTCGAACACATTTCAACTTTTTATCAGATTTTTTCAAATATATGAGAGTTATTGACGTCTTTAAGCTCAATTTCAAAAAAATCGTGAAAATATTCAAAAGGTTTTCAAAATTTTCAAAAGTATAAGGACAATAAACGCGCGATATATTTCGTGTTATTAACGCGTAAGCGGCGACTTATGCCCGCTCAGAAAACATTTCAGTTTTTTTTTCGAATATATTGAATTTATGTTATCAAACACTATTTACTAGACAGCTTTGCCCCGATATGAGGAGTCAGAGATTGGATTTTATTGTTTGAATTTATTTGGAGAATTATATCATCTCCAAAATAATCTGACACTGTTTTTAACAGAAGCCAATTCATTGTTGATCCCACTTTCGTAGAAATTTATTATTGTATGTTTGGGCCGTGTAATAGAAAAGACAAATAAATTGGACCATATTCGTTCTCCGTGTCTTGCATCGTAATTTACAAATTTACATCCCTAAAAAATACATCTGTTGAACCATGATATCGTTTCAGGAAAATTTTTGAAATTGAGAACTCCAAAAAATCGTAATTTTGGGACCGGAAAAAGATGGAACCTGATCTAAACTACATTTTATGATTGGATAAATTAGATATTTTACCAATGTAAAGTATTTAATATTAACCAATCATGATCCATCTAACTAACAATCCACTTATTTGTAAGTGCTGAAATTACTTGTAATTTCAGCACCAGAGAGATTTGAATTTAACTTAGAAATTAGTTGAACTCTCCCGAGTACTTCAGCAGCCGCAATAAACCAGTATACCCTAGATCTATTGAGCCTAGCAGAGACTAGTTAAACAACCTGAGACTAGATAGTATAAGAGTAAGATTAGGATCGGTATTAGACTAAGAAGTTGCACGAATCTATCCGGCCGAAAATAAGATAGCGTGACGAGCAGACGGTGTACCCTATCCGAAATTACTCTATGAGTTATACCCATCGGTCCTAACTCATCTGGTGCGACAATATCATAACTCATCTGGTGCGACCATAAGTCTCGAACAAGACCTTAATAGCTTAGAATTAACCAATAATAGATTAGAATTTAGACAAAACATTTACAAAATGTTATACGACAATAATTTAATCGAAATGTCTCTACGACTCAATAGATCAGAGCCAATATTCCGAACGATAACAGAACTACCCGGAATTGGAAGAAGACCTCGAACCAGAGACGACATACGACAAAGCAGAAACTTACCATATAGTTATATGATAGTTCGGCAAAAGCCAGAACAAACTTTTGTATTTAGAATACTACTAGCAATGAATTTAGATTTTCATTTGCAAACATAAAATTTTGAATTCAATCTTCAAAATCATTTCAGGCGCTAAACAAAATTATTAATATACAATAACGATTGATAAAAAGATCTCAGATCGTTTTCCTAAATTCTGCAGTAATATAAAAAACATGTTTGAAAAATATTTATTGAAAAATCAAAATAAAAATTAGTAGCATGACAATAAACGGTTAGTAATTATAAATCATCCTGTTGTTCCAGCTTCATCACCTAAACATAACAGCATTCATAAGCTCACTAATATCATAAAAATACTAAATCTATTCTTTACACAAATTTAAATCATTTTAAACTTAAATTCACTTAATTTTAAAATCAGATCATCAAGGCTTATCCTTGGATCTTAAATCATTTTCTATTTAATTAAATTTAAAACTTGATCATCAAGGCCTATCCTTGGATCAAAAAGAACAACTTTGTTCTCCCCCACCCACTTAACTAGTGTCTAACGACCTCAAACGTCGATTCACTATCCAACCCTTTCTAAAAACCCAGGACTAATAGAAATTTTTGAACAAAACTAATCATTCAAATTAGGATAAACAGTGAAGAACTTCGGTTATTCATCCTTCACTTGATCCCCCCTCTTACCAGACCCAGGATAAATCTTAAACTTAGTAAGTTTAAAATAGTATCTAACGAACTACTCGCGTTCTAATTATACCTGAACCTTGTGGATCGATTTACTATTCTCCAACCCTGAACACAATCACTACCCTTAAGTAAGATTAAGTAAGTTAACACCTTAGCTTATACTATCCACGAGAAAGTATAAAATCATTCTTCGGAATCGATATACTTTTCTCCCCAACCCGAACAAATAGACCCAGGTTAGGCTAACAAAAAAATCGTAAGGACTAACTGTTTAAGCAAATAGAAATCATTTAACAATCTTTTGCATCCGTCATCCTAAACCTTATGTCATTTAAAAACCTAGGAAATAAACAAACAATCGTTTTACACAATTGTGAAATAGATAACAAAAAATACAACCTTGTAATCACACCTCATACACAAACAGTTGGATACATTAGAACAAAACGACAAACATTAAAGAGAAAAATAATAACTAAACAAAGACAAATAACACGAAAAAGATTTTCAAAAAATCGAAACGCATTTTCAGAATCAGAAACCAACAGTTTAGACGAACTTTATAAACTAAAAGAATCAATAGATAAAAATTGCCCAATTCACGATCAATTATATTTCTCTGACTCAGAAACAACTTCAAATTCATCAAAAAGAGGAAAAAGAAGAATAAAAAAGCAGTATAAACACAAACCAGTACATTTGTACAATTGGAATCAACCAATTAGACACATTGATAATTACATATTAACAGTCATCGAACGAAAAAATGAGCTCAACGCACACCCCAGGTGAAGAAAGTCCAGATGATGATGATATCTTCCCCTTTATCGTAGATGCAACCACTGATAGAGGACAGCATATATTTTGCAAAAATTTACTCTTAAATTTGTTTGAACCCGGAATCAGTCCATGTAAAACAGAGTTCCCAGATGTAAAAATCAAAAGACAAATTATCGATCACTATCTAAAAGATATATGTAACCTAACACAACAATACGGAATCTACTCCATAGAATTCAGCTCACCAAACCAGAATCACAGTAAATATATAATTCAAACAGACGACCTTGATTTAGAATTCTCAAAAGTATTCTCAGAATATATAAAAAGCATCCAATATCATAACTCACAAAGAGCAAACTCCATATTCACCAATGAAGTTTTTGCGATAATATAAAGTTATATCTCGATATTAGAAAACGAAATCCAGATACCAAATGTCTCACCGACAGAAACATCTAAACATATAAGAGTACGACATGAAATCACACTACTCTCTAGTTTTCTAAATATAATTAAAGAAAATTTCACGAAAGATGAAGTTTCACAACATACAAAACACGACTTACAAAAAATCTTGGCATGGTTCATAATAGATTATTTCACACATAATATTGATTTAATTTCACAAGCAAGAAACAATTTTAGACCCCAAAACTCAAACGATGATACTGCCATCACAGAACAATCAGACTATGTTTGGGACCCCGAATGGTCTCATCCCGCATCCATAAACTTCCCACAATCAATCTCAAGTCAAGCAATAAGTACGATATCTTATGTAAGAGATTATGTACGAGTAATACCATTAACCATTGATGCAACACCATTAAACTATAATACATTTTTACCCGATATGCAAAATAATAGTTTAAACTCTACAGTCATACACAATGAAAACCTCAATGGAACTAGGAATCTTACTCAACAAGATATCCAGACACCATCACACTTCATAAATGAAGAAATCGTACACACAACAACTACACAACAAAGTATTTCACCAATACGTCCAAACTTAACAACACCAAGAAATACAAATCCTTCACAAACACAGGTAACATTACAATCAACCGTTAAACCTTCGGTTGCCCCAAAATATTCACACATGGATTACCAAACATACAGACCCATGACAATACCGCCAAAAACACGCAAAACGTTCACTAGAAACAACTTTGCAGACCATAATTATAATTACACACATCCATCAAAAACAAATTATCAACCACGAAAAAATTTTAGTAATTATACAAGATCTCGAAACTGGGATAACCCAATGGCACCACCTAATTCAGTAAATTTCCAAACAAATTTACATCCTCCACAGGATCGTAGTGAAAACTATCCATTTTTTCAACAAAATAAAAATAAAAAACAAACATCTTATCAAATGGATT